TAGTTTTATTAGATCTAATTAAAATTTAATATATTTTGATAGTATGTTTGTTTGGTTTTAAAATATTGCTATGTTTTTCTATGAATTTGATCAAACTTAATTAAAAAAGTTTGAGTAAAGGAAAAATCATAGTGTTCTATGATATGGAACTGAAGGAGTAGGTTCTTAATTTATTTCGAACGGTTATGAGCTTTGATATATATTTGTACGAGTAAGCAGTACTCCATAGATCAGTGCACAATGAAGGGCTCGTATATAAAACTTAATGCGCCTGAAAAGATCAAAGGAGAGGTGGACGAAGAGATATTTTTAAGGAAAATATATTATCAGCACCATATAGCTGGATGGTATCATGTAATATTACTAGACAAAAGTTTATCGTAGACGTGCTAGCTTACTCATACGCCACCATCCGAGCTACTAGTGGCGCCGGCGAATACATAACGGACCAATTAACTGCCATTACTAAGGAACTACTCTCTCTATTTCAAAATATTTGACACCGTTGACTTTTTAGGACGTGTTTAACCATTAGTCTTATTTAAAAAATTTAAGTAATTATTTATTCTTTTCATATCATTTGATTCATTGTTAAATATACTTTTACGTACACATATAGTTTTACATATTTCACAAACTTTTTTAATAGAACGAACAGTCAAACATATGCTAAAAAGTCAACGGTGTCAAACATTTTAAAACGTAGAGAGTAGTATATAAAAAGTATAAGACGCAATTATGCAGCGAACCAGTATAAATATGCCCGTGAAGCGTGCCACTCCACCTTATAGCAGCACACACACAATCAAATTAAATTGCGAGCTAACAAAGGCCACTTCGTTAGCATAGCTAGCTGCTAGTTAGCTAGCTCTGGTGTAATTGAGATCTTGCAGCACACGACTATCGTAGTTTAGTCATGGGAAGAGGCTTCTGTGCAAGCAGCTTTGTGGCAGTAGGGCTTGTTGTTCTTGTGTGTTCAGCGGCAGCAGCTGCTGCTGAGACCCATGTCGTGGGAGACTCCAAGGGATGGGGCTTCTCCGTCGCGTATGACAGCTGGGCCAGTGGGAAGGCTTTCGCCGCCGGCGACACACTTGGTATATATATAGCTATATATATGTATATCGACTGATCCTCTGTCTCTACACCCCAGAAACGAAAACGAAAACGAAATCAACGAAAGAACCACGGATTTTTACTCTCTGGCTGCTCTCTTATATGTGCAGGAACTAGCTAGTGACATATATATCGGTGCTATTTATATAACCGGCTTCTTTATAATCAATCTGCAGATGCAAGAGAATTAGTTTAATCCGCTAGCTTCGCTTGCGCATGTGCAGTGTTCAACTACTAGGCGGGCGTGCATAACGTGGTGGCGGCGAGCGCGGCGGAGTACCGGAGCTGCAAGGTGCGCAACTCGGCGGACGCGGCGGCCACGGCGGCCGGGAGCGCCAAGCTCGACCTCAAGAAGGGCGTCAACTACTTCATCTGCGGCGTCCCAGGCCACTGCGCCACCGGGATGAAGCTCCGTGTCGTCGCCAACTAATATTTATTAACGTAATTCCCCTTTGCAGAGACCAAATAAATATGCACCCACCGGCCTTACTTTGTTCAGGGGATTAATATGTATCCGTGTATCTGAGTGTGTATTGCTAGTAGTCTTCATCAGCTGCATGCTGCAATGCGCCTACTACGGTCCTAGCTCCTAATAATTTCTGGTTTTCTAGAATATACTAAGCCCTAAATAACCAACTTGGCTATCAACAGTGACGTGTACTCGTGTTAATTTAAAACAAGTACTATACTATACAATAAATATTCTCCACTTATTGCTGCATCGCATATCACTCTGAACCTGTGGTGCTATAGATTTTACTCCCTCCGTCCCGATAGAAATGTAGCCTAATACATATGTAATATATTCTAAAATTATAGCTCACATCAGTACCAGGTTACATTTATAATAGAACGGAGAGAGTAATAATTACAACATGACGGCACGACTTAAATTATAGCATAATACGATTGGATTTGTTTAGAAGTCTTTGCCAAGTTGTTACTTTACGTGCATCTACGAAACCAATTCATCTATACGAAAACACTTTGAAGTGTTTCTATAAACTATCAAAATACTCGTGCTTTGCAACCAGACGAAGTGCGCGATCAGATATGAAGTGGAATAGAATAAAGCGATGCGGAAGGCAAGGAGACAATGGGCACAAAATTCAAGCAAAAAGGCTTGAATAGCAGGTTATGCGTTTTTTTTCAGGTATTCCAGTGCAGGTTATGGATGTTTTGCTTTTCGATCCTTTAGGTTAACTTTGATACTCGAAATAGTAATGAAGAGTGGGACAACTTATCTGGAATTGACGTATACGCACTAAAGTATTCGCTTAACCATCCTATGTTTACCGGTTTTATAGGCCGCGCAACAAAGAAAAGAAAGGCCCATGTAGCCCTCATAGAGATGGAATAAGTCCAGTTTGACTCCCTGAAAGTGAACCAAATCTAATACATGACCCTAAACCGTAAAACCGGATATCTCAACCCCCGAACTTTCAAAACTAGTGCAATTTGACTCCCTTGATGGTTTTTAGAGGGCGGTTTTGCTGACGTGGCACCTACGTGGTGGTATTGACCGGGTCTTCTTTACACATGGCGTTGACGTGGTGCTTAAGTGGCATTAGAATTAAAAAAATAATGCATTTATCATTCACACAAAGGATGACATCTGGGACCCATTGACAAGTGGGGCTCACATGTCATCCTCTCTCCTCCCCTTCTTCCTCCTCGCTCTCTTTCCCTTCTCTCATTCTCTCCCTCAGCCAATCTCTTCACCACTGGAGTGGCAGTGGGGACGGCGGCTGTGGACGGTCGTTATCGATCAGTTTCGACCGTCAATATTACTAAAATAGAGGAGAACTAGTGATGCTTGCAATGCATATATCTGTTAGAATAATAATATTCCACTAGTATTAGGTATACTAACCTTTTGCAGAGAATGACAATAAAGTGGAGGAGAATCGACATCAACACAGATGATAAATCAATCGGACGATGTCGAGAACCAGACTTATGTATGAATGGGCCAAGAACTCAGAAATAACACGACACATTGAGCCAAAATTCACAAGTCTACGGAGGAGGACAACAAAGGAGGCCGCAAGCCGAAGATGGGCTGGGTTGGGCAAGCCCATGGTTCAGCCGAACCTCCCGTGGCGCCGATGGATGTAGGGTTTGGATGGACGGCTGGGATTGATCCTCAATGACGGTTGGAGGGTATTACCGACCATTCCAGCCGTCACAACCGTCATTACCTGCCTATTTAAGGAGCTCCTCTTCTCACTTCACTCACACACCTCAAGCAAAAGCTCTCTCATTTCTCTCTAGTTAGTTTAGTATTATCTAGCTGGTGGAATAGGAATAGAGTAGAAATCAGGAGTCCAGAAGCCTTCGGAAGAGTTCGGGTATAGCTCTAGTAGCTTTTCTCTTCTCTTTTGTAAGCTTTATACTTTTATTAGAATACTCTTCTATATACATTTCTGGTATTGAAATACTTTCCGAGTATATGAATGCCTACTTTACATTATGTTCATGTTATATTGAACATAAGGCTAGCTTATCTAGGAGATGCTTTGGTGCGGGTATCATGTTTGCATATGCAATTACTCTATGTCATGACAATAATATTAGAGTATTATATGGTAGTTTTGACGTGGTGTCTAGACTATGGGATATCATTATTTGGGGTTATATATTGCGGATGAGAGGTGGGCCGCTGATGGTGACAGCTCAGTACGGGTATTCCTCCGCGCCGGTATATAATCCTAAGTTAATTCCCTGGGGAGGGTATTCCTCCGTATTTAGCCCCGGTTGTATGGTCATGACGGGCTGTTGTAAGGAACTCGGCAGTCAGGGGTGGCTTCTCGAAGTACCAGGAGGGCATCCGATAGAGGGTATTAGCTAGTATATCAATTAACTAGAGTGTATGTATACTATGTATATTAGAAGTATAGGAATAGATTTTCTTTCTCTTTTCTTTCCACTTAGCTTACGTAATATATTATGAGAATGAGTAGTTAATGCTTGTGTGTCACTCTACTCTTGGATTATCTTAACCCCTGCTTAGAATATGATTATCACAAGTAATATATAAATTATTAGTCAAGTGCTCTCTACATATCTTCCCACGGGATAAAATAAATACGATACCCTTGTAATACTCTCGGGTGAAATGCTACAATGGTATATCCGTACGCTTGCAGATGAACTTTGTAACCATAATATACCAGAAGTATTTCTGCGTCAGTGTTGGAAATTATATTTCTAGTAATGTCATTAAGAAATACCAACAATCATATCTGGCGCCGTTGCCGGGGAAGATTCATAATAGAGATTACCTGAACTAATACTTTATATTTACCTCTGTATAATCATTTCCCTTTGCAGGCTAACCTTGTTTGTTTTCACTTTTTGTTGTGAAAACAGGGTAGTGCATGACTGGTTTCAACTTGCCGGAAAACTTCAAAGAAAATCCAGAAACTTTCTTCCGGAGCATCAGGCCGCAAGTCGCTGCTCCGTAGAAAACTCTACCGAGAGAGAAACCAGCCATACCAGTGCCACCAACCTTCAAGACTATGGCTAACAAGACTCTCCGCGAGTTCACTGCTCCCTCTGCTGACAATGTGGCCATTGGGCTGCAGATCAACATGGGAGACGGGGATTTCGACTTGAAGTCCAGCCTCATCACGATGGCGCAGGCTAGCCCGTTCTGTGGCAAGCCTTATGAGGATGCCAATGCTCATCTGCAACAGTTCCTGGAGATCTGTAGCACGTACACCATCAAGGGCGTCAGTCCGGACGCCGTCAGGCTGCGGCTGTTTCCGTTCTCCCTCCTCGGGAGAGCAAAGCAGTGGTTCTATGCCAACCGTGCTGCTGTCAATACCTGGGACAAATGCTCTATGGCATTCCTCTCGAAATTCTTCCAGATAAGCAAAACCAATGCTCTTCGTGGAAAGATTTCAAGTTTCCAGTAGACAAGGGACGAGTCTATTCTGGAAGCTTGGGAACGATTGTAGGAGTATGTAGCCACCTGTTCTCATCATGGGATGGACGACTGGCTGATCCTGCAGAATTTTTATAATGGACTCACCCTGATGTCCCGCGGCAGAATTTTCAAACGCGGCAGCTGGAGGAGCTTTCTTCTCTAAAACGGTTCAAGGAACCGTTGATTTAACAGAGAAGATGGTTTCCAATATGGGTTGGAGCGAGGAACGACTCCAGACCCATCAGCGAGGCATGCACACCGTCAAAGAGACGGAATTACTTGCTGCCAAACTCGACCTCCTCATGAAGCGATCGGACGATCACGAGAAACGGCCACAAGGCACCATCAAGGCCTTGGACTCTCACGTCACGTGTGATGTCTGCGGCGGCACGGGTCATTCTAGGAATGACTGCGCGGAAACCCGTGAGGAGGCGATGTACATGGGCAACAACAACGGGTACTGTCCACAAGGAGGTCAGGGGTGGAATCAACCACGTCCATATTATCAAGGAGGTAACAACAACGGTAACTTTTCTAACCAGCCCTCCTTGAAGGATCTAGTTTTTGCGCAGGCTAAAACCACCGATGCGCTAAACAAAAAGCTTGCTGCCAATGACAAGATCCTAGAAAACATAAATGTCAAGTTAGATGGCTTTGCTTCTGCTTTTCAAAATTAGCTGAGCTTTAACAAAATGATAGAAACCCAGCTAGCTTAGTTGGCATCCTTAGTCCCAACAAACGAAACTGGGAGGATTCCGGGGCAACCCGACTCCTCCGTTGAAAATGTTAAGGCGATCACGACGAGGGGAGGTAAGTCCACTCGTGATCTGCCGTATCCTAACCCTGCAGAAGCTAATGGGATTGCAAAAGAAGCGCTATCTAATGACTCGGCTGACAAAGAGGTTCAGCCAGAAAAGACAGTGCCGCAGGAGTACTGTGACACACGGTTGCTGCCGTTTCCTCAATGGAGTAGAAAACCATCAGTGGACGAGCAGTTCACTCGTTTTGTTGAAGTAATCCAGAAGATCCACATCAACGTGCCATTGTTGGATGCTATGCAAGTGCCAACATACGCCCGTTATCTTAAGGACATACTCAACAACAAGAGACCGATCCCAACAACAGAGGTGGTCAAGCTGACGGAACAAGGCAGCAACGTGATACTCCACAAGCTCCCAGAGAAGAAGATAGATCCGGGGCGTCCAACGACCACCTGCTCGATCGGGGAACAAATTTGAGGGATCTCTTCCCTAATCCGGAAAACTTGGATTGTTTGGTGGATCAGTTCTACACTCAGGAGATGGACAGTCTTATTAAGGTCATTCCATCAGACAAAGCACCTGGACCTGATGGGTTTAATGGGTTCTTTCTTAAGAAATGTTGGCAAATCATATCACAGGACTTTTACAGGTTAGCAGCTCACTTTCATGCTTGCTATACTGATCTGCAGCCGCTGAACATGTCTTACATAACCTTAGTGCCAAAAAAGTCCTCTCCAGAAACAGTCAATGATTACAGGCCAATTTCACTGATGGGCATTAGCTTAAAGTTTATAACCAAATTTATGGCAGATAGGTTACAGAGTGTAATGCCCAAACTGGTTCATGAAAACCAATATGGTTTTATCAAAGGCAGAACAATTCAAAACTGTTTAGCATGGTCTTTTGAATATATTCATCAATGCCAACAGTCAAAAATTATATTGCTAAAGCTTGACTTGGAGAAAGCATTTGATTCTATAGAGCACTCCACCTTTATATCCATTATGAAATGTATAGGGTTTCCTGAAAAATGGCTGCAGTGGATACAGATGATTTTTTCTTCGGCACATTCTTCAGTACTACGTAATGGGGTACCTGGAAACTCTTTTAAATGCAAAAGGGGGGTTAGGCAAGGAGATCCACTCTCACCACTGCTTTCTGTTCTTGGTGTTGAATTGCTGCAGAGAATAGTTAACAAAGCTTGCTCCTTAGGTCTGTTGACCAAGCCAATTAATGAACTTGATGAGAAGGGTTTCCCAGTAATACAATATGTTGATGACACTTTAATTCTTCTCAAAGCTTCGCAGAGAGAGGTGTTCTGTTTCAAGCCATGGTTGAATTCTTTTGCACACTCTACTGGCCTCAAAGTGAATTACTATAAGTCCTGTCTCTACCCAATCAATTTATCTCATGAGAATGCAGTGTTTTTTGCTGGTCTGCTTCGGTGCAACATAGGCACAATGCCTTTTACTTATTTGGGTTTGACAATGGGAACAACTAGGCCAAGGGTAGTGGACTTTGCACCCTTGGTAGACAGGGTAGAAAGAAGATTAACAGCAAGCTCACAATTTCTGCCACAAGGTGGAAGACTCACATTGATAAACTCTGTGCTTTCCTCAATCCCATCATACTATATGTGTTCTTTGCAGCTGCCTATTTCAGTGGTAAAAGCTATTGACACTGCAAGGAAAAATTGCCTTTGGAGGGGAAACAATCCAACTTCAACCAGAAGATCTCTAGCCTCTTGGGATCTAGTGGGCAGACCAAAGGATAAAGGTGGACTAGGAGTCATCAATCTAAGGGTTGAGAATATAGCGCTTCTGCTTAAACATCTAGTCAAATTTTACAAAGGACATGATCTGCCGTGGGTTCAACTAATATGGAACTTATATTATAAGTCCAAAGTGCTACATTTAGTTTGGAATAAAGGATCCTTTTGGTGGAGGGATATAGTGGCTTTGACTGATGTTTTCAGGGGAATCTCAAACTGCCGTATCAGGACTAGATCCTCAGTTCTTTTCTAGGATGACATTTGGAATGATAAGATAAGGAGCAATGCTTTTCCATCATTATATATGGTTGCCTTAGATAAAACACTCTCTGTTAAGCAAATGGGTTCTACTCCTCTTGAGGATTGTTTTTTACTACCTCTGAGCACCCAGGCTTATGGAGAATTCACTGTCTTAGAAGAGGAATGGTCTTCTCTCTCTTTGCAGAACGGTAATGGTGATGAATGGTCTTCTCTCTCTTTGCAGAACGGTAATGGTGATGAATGGTCTTTCATCTGGAACCCTGACAAATACACAGCTAAGAGGTTTTATAAGCTCACATACTCAAATGTGGATGTGCCGAGGCCTTTTGTCTAGATCTGGAAAACAAATGTGTAATGAAGATTAAGGTTTTTGCTTGGCTTTTATTCAGAGACAGACTTAACACAAGAGATATGCTGGATATGCGACATTGTGCAAAGGAAAACGATGACCTCACTTGTGAATTATGCCGGAATAATATCAGAGAGACAAGAGCACATCTTTTTTTCTTCTGCCCTTTCAATCAACTTTGCTGGCAGCATTTGGGAATTACATGGAATCCTGACCTAGAATTTTTCAGATGGTGGTTTTGGCTCGCATTCAGTTCAATCAGAGAGGTCATTGCTGCTTGGCACATTTCGAAGCAAAGGAATGGGAAAATTTTTCGCAATGAGCTTCCCTCGTTGAGTTCTTGGAGGGCTTTATTCAAAGCCGAGGTTCTTCTACATTTGTGCAGAATGAAGGATCCACTAAAACAGATTGTTTTTGATTGGTTAAAAACAGTGTGATACTTTGATCTTTTTTTTATTTTATCCTGTAATTTGTAAATAACCTTTTCAATTTATAAAATTACACTGCGAGGCAAAGTCCTGGCAGTATTTCCAGTCAAAATAAAAAAGTTTGACCAGGCCTTGTGCGACCTTGGAGCCAGTGTCAGCGTCATGCCAAAAGACGTCTTCGACAAGCTCAACTTCACGGTGTTGGCGCCAACACCGATGCCCCATCAATTGGCTAACTCGTCAGTCTGTTACCCGGCAGAGATAGCGGAGGATGTGCCAGTCAAGATACGGGATTTCTTCATCCCGGTTGACTTTGTGGTGCTGGACATGGACATAGGAAAAGAGACGCCGCTCATCCTGGGTGTCACGCCCTGAAAATCGCCTAAATTAATAATCCATATTTTAAATCATTTTTAGAAATTATTTTAAAAGCCTTCAAGTTAAACTCTAATAATCTAGGAAAAATTTCAGCATAAAATTGAGCTAGACAAAATTTCATTAAATACTTTGCTTGTTTATCTATTTTCTAGATTTTTCTGGGAATTATTTGAGCAAGGAAAGTATTTTAATAAATGAAACATCATTTCACGAATTATTTTAATTGGAAAAGTTTTTAAAACCCTCTCCTAAGCCATTGGGCCGAATTCGGCCCAACATCTCTCTGCCCGCGCGAGGCCAAGCTGGCCCAAGCCGGCCCAAGTCTAGTTGCCGCCCCCTCCTCCTCTAGCCACCGACATGTGGGGCCCACATGTCAGGGCCTTCCCCTACCTCCAGCCGGCCGGCCAAGCCGAGCCCGAGCCGCCGCTTGCGCCGCCAAATCCACCTCACCCGGTCGCCCTCGAGTCCGATTAGTTGAGGGGAAATCATCCCCTCCTTATCCTCTTCCTTTCCCCTAAGGTTTCGGAGACCAATTTCGCCCGGATAAACCAAATCGAGTTCGTTTGAGTTTATCTCTCCAAACTAACCCGAAGATTTTCCGGCTTCGATTCCTCTCGGTTGGAGTCCAATCTCTCCAATCCAAGCCTATAAATAGCACCCCCTAGTCGTCCTCTTCCGTTTGCCTCTTGTCTTGTCACACCCTAAAAATCCTAAATATATAAATTGTTGTTTAATTGGAATTATTAGAATTTATTTTAAAAGTCTAGAAAATAAGATCTAATTTTAAATAATAAATTCCAATATAAAATGGAGCCAGATAAAATTTCATTAAATACTTTGCTTGATTCTATAATTCCTAGATTTTTCTGGGATTTATTTGAGCTAAGGAAGTATTTTTAATAAATAGAATTGCATTTCATGAATAATTTAAATTGAAAAAGGTTTATAAAATCCTCTTTTGGCTTTGGGCCGAAAGTCGGCCCAAAACCTTCTCTCCCTCGGCCCAGTCGGCCCAGTCAGCCCGCAGCTGCCCGCGCGAGCGCCCTCAGCCGCTGACAGGTGGGCCCCACCTATTGGACTCGTCGTCCTCCTCGCGCAGTCACCCGGCCGGAACC